ACAATCAACCGATCAAACTTTGCATGGGTACTGGTAAAACTGTTATTCTTCTGAATCTGGAAAGTCTCTATGAAAGTCTTTATGATGCGATGAATCAATTTTATGTGAAATTTGGCGAAGATAGATATGTAGACTTGGGACTTGGGACACATAGAGTCAAATGCCGGGTGCACAATGATTTCAGGTAATATACTCATATAGTGTACTTAATAACGATCTGATATCAGCATTCAGTTGTTACCCACTAATGTACCCTCAATATGGTTCATTTTTGTGCTCAGGCTCATTGTTGTAGCCGACAAGCAGGCAGTGTACAAGAGATTCCCGATACCTTTAATCAATCGTCTTGAGAAGCATTTTCTGTCAACCACGACAATGCTAACTTCAGACAAACTAAGTATTGCCAAACGACTAGATACATGGGCCCATGATTTTGCGCATATTCGCCTAAATCCTGGTCAGACAAATGGGTAGGTGAACACTAACATGTTATAGATCGTGTTACTAACTCTAATACAACATGACTCACGATATTTTAATTTATTTGTCATATTCCGAGATTAAAGCAATATTCCAAAGTGATACTCTTTTTACTTTATTTTTTACCGATTTCAAGTTACGTGCAACGTATATTGTTGCATTACGATATGCACATGTACACCATTTTGCAACTGGTCGTTTGGTAGTTGTGATGCTAACGTGTTTAGGGTTTCTACATAACCTACTTTGTGGAAAGTTGTACTTATTATTCCAATTACACAATTGCATGTATAACTGTTATTTTGTCGACATATAATATAACTCTTACTTTCAAACAAAATAAAACAAACGCCCATGCTGAATGCGTTCACAGGTCTACTTTCGATGTACAAGATGCTTTCATTGATTACTGCAGCGATACGCCAGCTCTAATTGTAGCAAACATCAGCTCGTCAGTGACAAAACAAGATTACCAAGATGAGAAGGAATGGGAGAATAGGGTAAGACACGCAATCATATCATTAATAATGGAATATTTAAATTTCATTCAGACCAATTCGTTTGCTACTTACGGTATATTTGGTAGTTGTATTAATGATGCCAATGTCCAATATATGGGTTATTGTTTAAGGAAAGACTATATTATTTACCGCCGACTTCATAACTTTAAGGCACTAAAAACCATGTTCAAATGTAATACTGCATCTAAACGCTTTATTTTCACCCGTGGTTCAATGAAATGGGTTTGAAACTAGCATACAACTATTATAAGTACATCGAGCGGTGGTGCAAATTCGCCTTCATATTTCGGCTTTGCAGAGGTTTATTCGTGTAGTTTCTTGTTGGAGACAATTGTGTTCCAATCAATACAATTAAAAAATATTAGTATTTTTCACGCTTTGACCTACTTCTAAACACGGAAAACCCATGGCATATATTCTACGTAACCACAGCTTGTATAAATATAAAACATAATAAGTAGTATATATGTTGTATTTCAGGTACTAGAGTTGTCTCAGGATGCACTGTTAGCCTGTGCCGTCCCCGATGCTATACTTCGATTGCCCGGGTCTGTGCTTTGTGACCCTGAAGATCCGTATGATTCTGCACAGAGAATAGGGTACAAGTATAATTTTGAACAGAATCATAGAAGTTTAGCTGAGTACATTAAATGTGAAATCAAGCTTGATCAAGAAAAGAAAAATAATAATGGCATCCTAGCACAGGTTTGTGCATATATATGGTCACTAGTTTCTCCTATATTATGCCCATTTACTGAAATTAATGAAGTTGTAACCCGCCATGAATTTATGTTATGTCAAATTTATGTAAAATTTAATTGTCCATCTTGCCCCTCCTTATTACCCATAACTGGGCCATTCAGAATATTTTTTCTGTACTTCACAAAACATCCTTCCAACGTTACTGTATAAAGTGTTTTACATTTTGAATACTTCAAATATATTAACCGAATCTTGTTCAATTTCCACATCTCTTTTCCATAAACCAGGACTGACCAAAATAATTGTAAGCTCAGACTGTTTTTGTGGTGTAAGTACATTAATACACATTTTGCGACCGACAAACTATTTATTGATAGGTTACAACACACTCAAGACTCCTGCTTCCATGGCAAGACTTAAGCGAAGTGGCAAAAGTATTGAATTTACAACCAAGAAAATTAAGACAGAATTGTTTGTTTTTACAAGAGTTTGAAACCGAAAACCAGTTTACAGAAAAAATTAGGTAAGGGAAAAACTGTTATTTATAGACCTCGGATAATTTCGTCGATACAATAAGTAAAAAAGTACACAGATATAACTACATTTTCTTCTTTAAAGGGAATTCTTCATGGATACGTCTTCAGACGACCAAATGATGATAATTCAGTGTGAAGGAGAAATCAAACATACTAACTTGATAGAATGCTCGCGATACATTGTTCAGAATGAACGAAACGAAGTCTTTGACAATGGCGAGACTGATCACAAATTTTCTAGACATGTTGTTTTCATAATCCAGCTTCCAAGGTTTGCTGGTAGCTGTTCTCATAGTCTACTAGGTAAGTTATTCTCCATATCTGCATTAAAATGCGCCGAATTATTGTCATTGTCGTAGAGATTGCATATGGTATGTTTCATTTGCTGTTACATTGTGTTGAGTGATAGTGTGTAAACGTGTTTAATTGGTCGGATTAAGCACATATCGTACATTTACAACAATGTCCTCAGAATTTAATACCATCAATGATTAGTAATATCAAAGATGTGTTTATTTGAAATATCTTTCGTTCTATAACTCATTTATTTACATGCATACACTGGGAAGCCATTACACCTGAAAAACATTGTATAAAATGTGAACCAGTGAATTCTGTTTTCATGCGTTCTAAACTAACATTTCGACTGTGGATTAAAACTACCACAATTCAAACATTACTGTTGAACATTTGAACTATTCTTGCAATACAGGTGGGAAATGGCGATCGGTACATATTGATGAAATTCGTTCACCGCACGCAGAGTCACCAGACACGTCAGCGTTCGAAGACAGACCGTTGGGAGCAATCTTTGAAAGTGACCCAGACGTGGTGAAATACGAGTC